TATTATTATTATTATTATTATTATTATTATTATTATTAACCTGCCACTCCCCAAGGCTCAAGGCAGAATACAGCATAGATTAAAACACATAAAACTATTTAAATACATTAAGTTAAAGCACATAAACACAGGACACATTAAAATCATCCAGCATAAAATTAAAATACCCCAATTTAAAAGTCATAGTTTAAGAGATCAGTCTTTAACACTGTTTTAAATTCAGACATGTCCACACTCTGATGAAAATGTCCTGAGGGTGATAGTTACCAGTGTAGTTTGGAAAAAACAGCATTTGTAAATTAAAAAAAAATAGTTAAGCAAAATATTCCTAGTTGATCAGCATGCATTTCCCTTTTCTCATTCTGGAATCTGCTCAAGCAGCTCCCCATATACCAAAAGCAGTGCCTTATGTATATTTAAATGTCATATTTATTTAATCGATGTATATTGTACACAAACAAATATTTTAGAAAGGTAGGTAAATTTATGCCACTGACTTTAGCTTTGGATTAGGAAATTGGATCCAGTCCTGATTCAGCCAAATTTTCAGGCTGATTTTGACATGCTGAGCTCACATGAATAATTAGGAGATAATTGGACATATACCGTATTTTCCGGCGTATAAGACGACCCGCGTATAAGACGACCCCCCCATTCTTCCAGTCAAAATACAGAGTTTTAGCACCTCTATCCCCATCATCCTTATATCTGGTGTATAAGACGACCCCCCCCACTTTAGCCACAGATTTTGCAGGTAAAAAAGTAGTCTTATACACAGGAAAATAAGGTAATTATTCATGAGATTTAGCTCTTGATGAAATTGTGTAGTTCCAATGTACATAATTCACATAAAGTGAAATTTCACAGATTTGTCATCAATGTCATTGACTTGGGAAATTACCACTTGTGAATTTTTATCAGTAGCAGAAAAAGAGTATATGAGCAAGCGTGGTGTAGTGGTTTGAGTATTGGATTATGACTCTGGAGACCAGGGTTTGAATCCTGACTTGGCCATGGGAACCCACTGGGTGACCTTGAGCAAGTGACATTCTCTCAGCCTCAGGAATGCCAATGGCAAACCCTCTCTGAGGAAACTTGCCAAGAAAAACCCATAATAGGGGCCTTAGGGTCACCATAACTCAGAAATGACTTGAAGGCATACAGCAATGACAGAGAAAGAGCAGAGAAGCAATTTCTGGAATGAGTGTAGCTTTTTTCAGGCACAAGAGTCCTCAGAGTGGTTTGGCAGAGAATGGAAGAGATTTAAAACCCATGCTAGAAGGAAGTCCAAAATGTTTTTGCAGGCAAGAAAGTAAGTAACTTCTAAGGGTGTTATTATCCCTCCTCCTGGAAGAAACTACACACTAATTTCAAATGTCTACTAGTGCTTCAATATTCTTAACTGAAGTAGCTTGGGCAAATTGGGCACTTACATTTTCACTTTGGAGCTATAACCAAACTTCAAACCCGTTCAGAACATGCATATGTCCCACTGAATTGCTATTAGTACCATTGCCAAGAACTGTACCTGCACCATACAGATTTTATTGCGTTGGAGGTGATGAAACACACATGTAATGTCTTTTAATGTTGTACTTGTTCTTAATGTATTTTGGGGTGCTTAATTTAAAAAAACACAATAAAAATATCATACTATACACAGTTCTTTCACAAATACAATATATCAATTCGTTTGTTACTCAGTTTTGATTAAGTGTGGACAGTGATATTCCAGCGTGATTTCTTTTAGTGCTTTTGACCTGATTTTTTGTGTGTGTCCCATATCAGGGAATTAGTCTATTAGTCTTTAAACTCTTTCTTACTCTCTGCAGGATAATTCTTTAGAGGATAATTTCATTCAGTCATATATTACAACATAGAAATGTCAAAGCAAGTTGTGAAATGACTAAATGGAGAAAATCTGCAGTCGTTTTTGGATTTAGAATGCCAAATTCCTATAAAACCAGCACATATATTT